TTCAAAGTGCTGGAACCCGTGATGGAAACTGGCACAACGGGGACATCAACAAGTTCGAATGTGACCCTACTAAAATAAGAAACAACCTGTTTCAAACACACCAGTGGCTCCATGAGTGGTTCCCGAAGAAATGTCTCATGGATAAAAATTAGGTCTGAACATGTTGCAGTCCACTGCAAACTAAGGTGGCCATCTCTGGTCGTTGCAAAGATGAACAAAGCAAGAAGCATTTGGCGCAGCAATTGAAGGGAATGGAAAATACAATGCCCCAGTTTGACCTGAAGACTGGCCAGATCAAACAGAAAAAACTACCAAAGGAAAAGAGCCCTGAGGAAAGTGCTATGAAGGAACTCAAGACTTTACACAACAAGTCACCTGTATACTAAACTATTCGGAATCATTTGGTTTTATTGGTGAGTGTTGTGGAGTGCTGTGAACTTCGTTTCTGCTCTTGACTCCTGAGCCGCTTCTCCTACTGTTCGTGGAACCCAAGGGTGCAAAAGATGGACGCTGAGCGTCCAGCGTGCCTGGATGACATCCAGACCTATAACGTCCGCAACTGCAGAGAGCTCGTCCCTTGCACAGATCGATCTTGTTTTACAATTTGTTTTTCCCCTTGGGGGTGATATTTGAGTCGGAATCCTTACTCTCATCAGGTACAATGCCTCGAAGAGCGCGAAGGCACTGTGTCTCAGGCTTTGGAAAGAGTGGCGCATGCTGTTGCGACCCCGATGTCGGCTTTGGATGTGAATTCCACTATGTCTTTCATGGTCGAGATCAAGAACGCCTTAAAGAATGTCGACATGGATATCAAGGAAGCGAGACGACGGATCAACGCGGCGAAGCCAAAGAAGGGGAAGGCAGTACCCACTGATTTTGCTGGTAGTTCAGCATCATCAGTCTCAGGGGAAGAAGACTGATTAGATTTGTGTTTTGGGGTTGTTTCATCTTTGGCTCCTGAGGGGAGAAGTACGACACATGCTATATCTTTTTGGAGGGTATCACCAACAATCTGGAAAGTGAGCTGTGTTACAGTGTACTAATGGCCATATCTCCACTGATCACTCCAACTCTGTTTGCATTGTCGTTTCACTGTTCACCCATCACTCACAAGCAGTCCCCTGACCCAATTGGAGCCAAGATGCGATTATCTTTGCGGTAGAAACTGCCTGCCATGTGGATGGTGCTGTATGAGCAGCAGGAGCCACACAGCGGGACATGTTGTGGTGAAAAAACCACTGACCAAGTGACCACATGAACCTCAGGGCCTCCACAAAGCTCGGGGAAAACAAGTGTCTTTCATTTCCTCTGTGTTAGTTGTTTCGCGCATGGTTGTGTAAAGCAGGTTTCTCAATATTCATGTCGCCATGCTAATGTAAAAGCCACTGACTGTTCAAAGAACATGGTGTGTTTTCAACAGCCAGAGTATACAAGAGTTCTTGGGATCTTTTTGTGCAAGCACACAATATTATACGATTATATAAATCATGGAAAGTAATTTGCATTCATTTGCTTTCCATAATGCGAATGCTTCCACCCGCTGGCGCTACAAATGGATTTGGTGGAAGAGTTCCTGTCATTGACACGTGCAGTGTCTTGTCTGATCTTGCTCATTTGCTCTTGGCTTCAAGTTTGTTCTTGCTGTGGTGGTGTTGCCAAGGTGAGTGTGGGAACCATCGTATCTCTTTTTGTGGTTCTTAGACGTCGCATCCCAGGCCGATTGTTACCGCTGCATGGCATTTGATGCTTTGAGTCCTTTTCTTTCTGGTGTTAATGTGTTTCGTTGCTGAATATGTCTGTTTGGGCCATTGACTTGGTTCACAAGGAAGAATTTGCGGGACCTTGTCGACCTTCTGAGCACACAGGACGAGAAGAACTACGCTAGAGCTTTCTGGCGGTGGCTAGATAAGCAAAAATGGCGGAAGATGCTACCACCTGCAGTGGAGCAACTCATCTTGCAGAACAGTGAGGAAGTTTGTGTTGACTGAGTCTTGGCAGGATACTCCAATTGATTGGCTCAGGGTCCCAGTCCTTTTGGAAGACTTCACCCGTGATCCCTCAGTGCATATGTCGTCTTGGCATCTACTCCTTCCGAGCGATGTGAAGCTTGGTTTGTTGTTGAGGGTTCCATGTGGTTGATTCAGCCCTTAAGCCTTAAAACTGGTTGGCCCCAATGCCATTCCGAGGATCTCTCATATCTATCATTACAGCTTTGAACTCTTCAAAGAGAAATTGGTTGGTCCTGATGGTGTGACTTGTTGACTTTGTTGAATGTGTGAATGAAGTTTTTCATATGATGTGTCTCATTGCGTTTGATCAGTATACATAAGGCAATCCAGGAGTATTGGGAATCGATGAAAAACACCGAGTGGTTTCAGTATCACCCGGTGTTGAACCATCCTGCCTCTTGCCAGTGATGGTGCCTGTCGTTTTCTTTTTCATGGTGATTTTGGATGGAGTATGCTCACACTGCATTCCTCGATCTTTTGGATCCCAGGATGCAAACTTGGACCGGATCATCCCATTGGCGGTACACGGAGATGAGGCCGATTCCCACCGCCGCCGATCATTCAGTATATTGACAATCCATTCCCTCACAGTGCACGGAACGCTATTTGACAAGAAGTTCCTGATATATTGTCTGGACAACTCAGTTGCTCATTCGAACACGGCTGCTACATTGGAACGCTATGTGGCGCACAGCCTGGCGGAGTTACAAACAGGGACCTTCAGTGGTCTTGATCCATGGAACCGACCGTTCTCTCCCAAGCATCGAAACTTGTCTGACAATGGACAGATTTGTGGTGGATGGAAGTTTGTCCTTTCGATGGTGAAAGGAGATGAGAAGTGGCACCAAAGGACATTTAGAACTTCAAAGTCATGGGTGAGTAGCAGCCCATGCTTGCACTGTTCGGCCTCTTCGAACAATGACCAAGGGCTGATTTACACAAGCTTTGGCCCGAATGCAGCGCACAGGTCAACACTGACGAGCAACACTGATTTTATTCAGAACATTGTTCAATGCCACACGTGGACGACGGTTCCTGGATTCCATATCAGTATGGTTGTGTACGACTGGCTTCATGTCACGGACCTTTGTATTGTGCCTGAGTGCAGTGGTTCGGCGTTGAAGCTTGTTTACTTGAGCGTGTTACCATGATTGTTTTGCTGTGATCAGCTGTGATGATTGTGATGTTTTTCATCTGGGATTCCGATTCTTATGTGTGAGTGTGAGCCTAGGATGTATCTCCTATCACATCCTTCTCAGCCCTTTGGCCTTGGTGCTGCTGATACCAAACTGCAAAGGGCCTCCATCATGTTTACCAACGAGTGTAAAAAGGCTGGGATCAGTACCTTGGAGTGATTTAGTGCTTGACTTGGCCCTGTGCTAAGATTCATGTGGGTGTTCTTGTCTGCTTGAGGAAACAGAGGACAATTCTTTTCAGTGAAGCTTCATTGCATTGGTGCAGTGCTGAGTTCAGACTTTTCTTTAAGGTTTTTGCTTCTTCTCACAGTGCTGGATCTAAGGAAGAATCTGTTTCCGAATGGACCACATTCGTACCCGACCTTTGCACAAAAGCATATGAATGGGGCAGAATCTTTCCTGAACTTATTGAACATTGTGAACTCCAGCAATCAACTTAACCATGCATGGCTCGAAGAAAGGAATGCGTGGTATTGGCATGGTGGCTACATCGCTTGACGCTGAAGCTGGCTGATGAGAATCCTGAGGACCGTCACTTGCAGTGGCTTGAAAAGTTAAAGAGAGTGTTTCCCAATGTTGGATTCAGTTTATTTACCGTTTTTTGTTCTGAGGCTCGTGGCTTCGCTATTTCTCAATCTTTGCTTGATGCGCAATGCTCTTAGCAGGGCGAACAATGCTGGCTGCTTCGTGACTTTGTCGGGAAAGAATGTGGAGCAGCTACGACGCAGTGCATTCCTCTTCAGATCGGCTCACAACAGTTGCCGGGACTTTTAAGACGGTAGTGTGGGCGATTGTGCAAAATCATCAAAATCAACTCAGTTGTTGGCCCCGTGTTGCACCGAAGGTCTTGCGCATGCTGCTATCGAAGAAGGACAGCTCTTGTGGAAAATACGCCCAAAATATCATAAGTGTCTCGGATAAATTTATGATTGTGTGAACTGCACGCTGAACTTGTTAGCTTTGAGTTGTTGGACTGACATTTACTCACCCATTGCAACTGAGATTGGACCATATAATTTGGGACCAAGCCCACCTGGTGTCACCGCTGCACGCTTCGACGTATCTTGATGAGGATGCGATGGGCCAGATCAAGAGACTGGCAAAAGAATCAAATCCTCGATCTCTGGGGTATGTAGTGCTTCAAAGATATAGCGCTTTCGCGTGCACCAGGTGGTTGCGGCAGCTTCAGCAGTAGCCTTAAAACCAAAGTCAAAACCTTCCATAGACCTTCCTCGAACTCACCACACCAAAGCCACTACTTTAATGCAGTGTTCCGCTGAAAGCGTGCCGGAAGCACCTCAACCTGCTCCGCCAAGAGCTCAAAGAACGAGCAGAGGCCGTGGCTCGCAGAGGGTGGGACAGGAGGTAAAACAAGCACCCCAAGATCCAACCCTTAGCTTAGTTTTGGAGGTTCTTGTTTGGAATCGTATCTTCAGGACCAGGGTCTTCAAGAGGTTCAACCATTGGATTGCATCCTCCGACAGATCACTACAAGTTTTTTGGGGAGAGCTAGAACTAGCCTTCTAACAGGTCACTTCAAGTAGCCTGTTCGGGAACTCATTTTTCAAAAACTTGTAGTGACCTGTCGGAGGTTGCTGGTAGAGATGATCTTCAGACATATGTGCATGGTTCATCGTTGTTCAAGAACAAAACACAAGTGGTCATTTGACAATGAACACTCCGCCTACCTTGTTCACCCTGTGTTTGTCTGATCGTTGCGTCTTGTCCTTGACCACCATAACCAACCCTGCAAATCCACTGCCACACTGGGTGTTCTTCTTTCCTGACGAGGCACAAGTGAGACACTGAGCCACGTGTCTCCCAAAGTCTCTCTTCTCCAATAGATCGAGCCCAGTGTCCAGAGATCTCTCCCGTCACGCAGAAACAGCCTGGTGAGTCGAAATCTGAGAGCCAAATTGACTGGAGAAAAGAGGAAAACAAATTCTCATCTCTTTCTTGATGTTGCACTGGCTGGATCTCCAGGAAATAACTTTGTTTGCTGGCATCAATATCCGCCGACCCCGGCCTGCTAAAGCCTAGGCGGGGAGGCGCCCGAGACACCGCAGGGTGCAACATTGGCATTGGCATCTCTACCTCTGCTTTCATGCGCTGGCATTGGCATCTCTACCTCTGCTTTCATGTCCTGGCATTGGCACTGGCAATTACATTAAGACATTAAGGCTCAAGAAACTTGGCAAATCTCAGTAGTAAGCTTGAATCAAACATCGTGGCAAACCCCATCACGTCACATCTGCGCCTCTTGGCCGAGTTCGAGCCCAACCACCGAGGCATTGGTAGAAAGCCTGGGTCGCACAATGTTTTGCACAAGGAAAAGGCTGGCAATCAGACACAAGGCACCAAGTGCCAAAACGCGGCCAGGAGGCAGAGGGCATGCCTTCCAAGTATCGTTTGGACCAAAACCCCCAAAATGCCCAGGCCAATGCTGGATCACCTGCAAACAAGGACGCTACTAGCAACAAAGGGCATCGCTACTAGGAGCAAGGACGCTACTAGGGGCTCCTGGGCTTACTACTAGGAACAAGTACGCTACTAGGAACAAAGAACAAAGGTGTCTTCTGCAGCAATGCTGTTTAAATATGTTTAATATTGTTCAATCTGTCGTCGCTCCTGTGACCACAACAGTCAATTGAGTCAGCGGCAGCTCTTTTGATGCTTTTAAATTTAAGGGCATGCACCCGAGTCACCCGACCCTAACATATCAGATATCACCTGTTGTGGGTGGCTTTAACTCCAATATATGCCACTGAGGCATGAAAACAAACGATAATATACAGTAACTGCCAAGTTGCTTTCGAATAACTTTGCACTGTCCAGTTGCACATGCCTTGCTCAACGCGTTGAAATATGTTGGAAAATAATCAGCACACGCTTCATCACGCAGGATTCTTTGCTGCTGGATTGCTCACGCCAAAGAGCCCGGAGAGGGCTCCACGATCCTTGTGCTGGAACCCCATACTCTAGACTGCCAGCTGAAGTGCTGAAGGGAGGCAAGCGAAATAGGCCTTCAAGGATTTAGAGTTGCGTTGTGCATCTGAAAAGATTCAACACATTTAATAAGTCATCAGTCATCACAAATCTGCTTACAGTTGTTCAATGCTTCTCCACCTCGCCTGTTTCCTCCTCCTCGAGCTCCCCACAAATGAGGATTGCTTCTGCTTCTTGGAGCCATCTTACCGCATCCAGCACCTGTCAGTCAGTCCATTTAGTCACATCTGCTGGTAAGTCAAACACAGAAAGCACGTGAAAGCACTATATTAAGCAATGAAGAGGTTAAACGGTGTCAATTTTTGTCAATGGCCTCCGCCTTGGCATCAGCTTGAGCGGCTTCGCCGATTTGAGTTTGGCGACGGCTCACCGGCATCCAGCCATTGCGGCGTCGGTCTAAAGCAGAAATGACACGTGCTGGCCAAAGATCTAGACATCTTGCACTGGTGATGGCTCTTCCAAACTTCTTCTGGTGCAAGTGGGGCAAGTGAGGCAAGTGCGTGAAAGGCGAGCATGTGAGTGAGTGTTTTGTTGAATTCTTGCGAGTGGGAGCTTGTGCTCAACGCATCTCAATGCTGATTGATGGTGCAGTGAAGGATTGAGCTCTTGAAGATTGCGCAAGTAGGGGGTGCACATGGCGCTGTGCGAAGTGTGATAATAAAGCACAACAACTGTGAGGAAAAAGGACCTTTGAGCCGGGCAAATGAGAGATGAGTCAATCACGTTGCCATTCGTTTGTTGGCAAATCCACCAAGCCAAAGATGGAACTGAACTAGAACACCCACGCACCAAAAAAATGTCCATCATAATGGAAGGGTGTAAGTCTGCAAGGTACAACGGTACAATAGTCTGAGTCTAGCGGCTATTCCAACATGCTTTCTACAGGAACTGACCACAGTTTCCTACGTTGCCCCTGGTTCCTGGAATCTCCACATCGTTTCTGCCTGCGCATCTCTCCAGGTCAGCACTACTCACAACACCAATCACAATGCATACAGCATGCAGCTCCAAGTTCTTGAGAGCGACTAAATACCATGTCTCCAGTGGAAGCACCATCGACGTAGTCGTTGTTCTGAAAGGCCGATCAAATCTTTGAGCATCCCTGAGCACCTGGCATTGACCAGCATCTCCCTCTTGCGGCAAAGCGCAAACAACGTCGAGGGTCGAGTCGAGCGTGTCATCCATTGGAAGGTGCAGGCTGTCCTTTCTTGGTGCTCCGAGCCTTTATCGACTGCAAGAACTTCAAAGTCTCTGAGTTTGTGGCTTGAGGACAGGACTCACTGGATGAATCAACAGAAAGCTGGTCGTTTTGAGTATCCTTAGGGCGTCTCTTCCTTCTTCGCCTCTTTTTGCACGACTGACTCAAATCGTTCCCCTCATCTGGGCCGGAGCCTAAAAGCCACATGACTCGGGTCTTTCCAAGCTTCATTAGTGCCTGGCCATCCTTCTTGCTTGTGCAGCGCTTGACTGTGGCACAAAAGGATTCTCCACTTCGCAAAGCTTCAAGCAACTGCTTCCGGCCATCTTCCAGCATGGTCTTCAAAGCCTTGTGGGCTGAATCGACTTCATCTGATGTTGTTTCAAAACTCCAACACCATAAGCCATCCCCCAGTGCTGCAGCCAAAGATGTCGCCACAGTCTCGGCATTCCACGAACTCCGCAGTTCGTCAATCTTCAGGGAGCTTTCAAGGCAGCGCAAAGCCTGTGAAAAAGGCTGCAAGGCAAGCTCTTGCCTGAAAGCTAGCAATGCTGGCCTTGGATTGAGGTTGAAAAGCCTTCCAGTGAGAGTACGTAGGCAGTCAAACTTTCAAGCTCAGCCTCTCTTTACTGTAAATGTATGATGATCTTTAAACCTTCTGGATGGTCACTGGAATTGGCAAATTCAAGGGCAAGTAACAATTGAAGGGCTTCGAAGATCTACCCGAAGGGTCGAAACAAAGGCTCCGCCCTTTGTCATTGGGTGAGCAGGTCATGTGACTAAAACAAGAGCTTCATCGTGCGTCTTAAGGACATTTGGCACATTCTAGACCCAATCCAGCATTGTGCAAGACTTAGGCAACAACAAAGGAACACGCAACTGTTCAAATAAAAACACATTAAAAAACAATCAGTGAGCCGCAGCACCTTGGCAACTCCTTTAGAGCAGAAATAACTTCGTCGTTTTCTGTCTCCTCAACTTGGTGCTTTCGCTTCTGCCCCTTCACCATCGTTCACCATCGTTCACCATAGCTGCAATTGGCACCACAATCACAATGTAGCTGGAAGAATGAAACTGCCAACTTAATAGCAATGGCCTCCAACCTACTAGCGATGGCCTCCCATCATGTGGCTAGGCAGCCACCGCATTGGCAATTCCTGCTCGTTTTGTTGCTGCTCGTGAATCAACTGTTAGGGAGCGTTGATACAAAGTTGCAACATGTTACAACCTCATCCTACTACTAGTCTCGGAGCCGACCTCTTATTTGTGAAACATAGTTTCGCATTTGCCATGTCTAATATGATTGCTTGGGCAAAAGTTCAGCTCCCAGGTGCAGTTGCCATTCCCAAGCTAACTGTGCAATCTAAGCTGTACAGTAGCTGACAGGGTCGGACCAAATGTCCTTTTTCGTGTGCCCATGTCACATTCGCCAGGTGGTGCAGTAAGTTCCCGCATCTCACCAATCCTCAATGATAGCAATCAATCAACCTCTTTATACTTTGCTTGCGGTAAATGTTGCATCTCTGTTTTACAGTTGTTATAGGGCCCCGAGCAACTGCCATTCTGCCGAAGCTTTGGGCATGGCACTCACCCAGCGGGGGTGAAGTAGAGCTGGATAATCTCCAGAACGACCTGACACACATGGGGTAGGATTGCTACAAGTATTGTGTTGCCATCCAGAATTATCCAGCGCCTCAACGAGAATCAAAATGATGACAATCCATTCTAACTTTGTTCCATGCTTCACCTGTCATGCAGTGTGCTGTGAAGTGCCGGTCATGCCGACTCTCCATTGCCGCAAAATAACAAAAAGCAAAACGAGAACTCGTCAGCACCACATTCAGACTGTTCTGCAAAAGATCGTAGAGGTCCTGGTCACTTCATTTTGCGGGTTGCTGTCACTGGTGGAATTGGATGAAAGTCCAGCTGACTGGCAGAGACGAGGGAAGCCAAAAACGGTGGAGAATACGCACAAAATCACCACACTCGGGTGATGCAACTTGTGCAACTCCAAAAACTCCCGCGCCTTAAGCACAACCAAACGTTGGTTGAGAATGTCCTGAGCTAAACAAAACCAACAGATTTCACCCCAATGGCCCAAATGATTTCGATCACATTTCAATTCATTGTCATTTTACTCTATGCCGAATGCTAACACTGATGTTCTTTGGGCATTGTGCAATTGTGCATGCAGTATTTTGTCATACTTGTTAGATCTTGTTAGCATTTGTTTGTAGCCAGAATTCGTTTGTTGTCTAAGCCCGAAACTCTGGGCATTCTCAGCTTCCACACAGAGTTTCCAAAAGTATCCAAAAATAGATCGATTGATACTTATATATACATTATAAATCTGCCACAATTTCAAACTGTAGGAGAAACAGTTCGTCGGCTGTGGAGGCATATATAATTACTGTGACTGTGTTTATCTGTGTTTCCACAGTGCTTACCCGATTCCCCAACTTCAAACCGCGGACCTTTATATAATGGTATTTAGGCAAGGGCATCCTGAGAGTCCTCAATGTCGGCCCGCGCTTGCCGGATCTTTTCCAACAACCATATTCAACCAAGAAGCCACGCGCTTGTCCTTGCCAAGCACTGGATAAACTTCTCTGTCCACTCTTTTTTGTCATTGTGTCGCATCTTCCACTATTCTCCGCTGACATTGGGAATTTCTTTCCACAAAGTGGCTTGCTTGGAACCCGGGCAATGTCCAAATAGGTTCGGCAGGCTACATAGATCTTTTCAAAGCGTTCCTGACATTCAAAAAAACAAGGCTCAAGATAGAACGGTCTGCACAGCAGGACAGTCGAAGAACAAAGCCTCATCCCAGAAGATGTCAGGTGTGTCGAGGATATCTGTGTGCAAGTTCACATCACACCTCCAAACGCAAGTGTTGTGCAAATGTTATGGAGGAGAGGCCCCCTGAACAGCCACGCCGCAAACCTTGAGGAAACGAAGGTCGTGGGAGGGTTGCTTGAAATGCCTTGTAGAAGGTTGTTCGAAGCCATGGTGGATTTGCAAAGAAGACAACTCGCTCCAAAAGGCCTTGGTGAATATTGTTATCTGCTAAAGTGACCCTATTGAAATGTATTGAAACTAGCTTCTTAGACGAGGGTTCTGGGAATCAATTTGTCAGAGCACCTCCCCAAAAGCTGAGCATAACGCATTCTGGTGGGATTGCACTGGATAGGATAGGAGAGACCCAAAAGGCACATCACCTGTTTTGCCCGACGACGTGCCTCAACATTAAAAGCTCTCCCATCTGCTTTGAAAGCTCGCGTGCCTTGCAAGTGATTTCATCGAACAGAATTCAGACTTGGGTCTTTCCCAGCCTCTAGTTTAACTTCTCCAGTCTCTGCAAGTGTCTCAGGAATACTCCTGCGAGGGGGATTGCGAGGGTATTGAGTTGAAGGAGTCCTTATTGTACCTCATGCCACTCTTGCCATGACATTTCAAACCAAAGGCTCTCCGCGTATCCGCAATGGAGCGCTCAACCACAAGCTCAAAGCCACCAAGTCGGACCGACTGAGCCAAAGCCTCAAAATATGCTGAGAATACAAAAATATACAAAGGTTGAACGAATGTTACCGAATGTTGTACCAAAATAAAGCTGTCAAAGCATCAAACACGCAAACAGCAGCAGTATGCAGCCATGCAACATACGAATGGGCCAGCTTCTCCAGAGGACTACTCGCTCCCAAGATAATCCTTAGGCAGGCTGGCACGAACATCTTGGAGGAATTGTCCTATCACGTCCCATCCAGGGGCAAGGCTTGTCTTGCACGATGCACTTGGCCTGTGATGCAAGGGGAGTTTTCATTCTGCGGCATTTCACATTGTGTTCGGGCCTCATCTCCGTCTGTTGGTCCATCACCATCTTCATCCTCACCCATGTCATCTGGCTCTTCCTCACAATCTACCAGGTACAGCAAATTCAGGCGATCCATTTTTCACTTTGAATAATATATATATATAGGCAATTCAATTTGTTCTGTTCCGAGGCTCTTCAAATCCCTTCCGCTTCAGGACGTAGCTCATTGTTTCCTCCTCTACCCCGCCACCTTGGTGCCCGTTCTCAAACAAACTGGTACCATGTTGAGTTGTAACCATGCTGTCTTTGTCTCGGTTTGTCTACTTGATCAATATGAAACCAAGCAGCTTTGCTGTGGTCGCACAAGAAACCTGGGACGATTCACATCGATTCACACTCTGACTAGCTTTGTCATCTTTCCATATCTTTCCTAGTGTTTGGCGGTCAGCCCGCATATTGGGAATGAAGCTGTGAATAGTCAACCAATGATTCAAGGCACGGCTTCATCTTCGAACGAAGGTCATCAATTTCTGTTGGCTCACAGCTCCAGCAAACCTCGTTTCTGCAAAGATACCAACAAAAGGCCTTAAATCATACAGTGAAGAGCAGCAAATATACAGGAATGACTCATGTTGTTAGAAACATAGTGATGCAGCTCAGCGACAATACAACCAAATCCAAATGCAAAAACATCCTGCGTTAGTTGAAGCCATTGAATTTGCTCGACCAATCTCAATGCTTTGTTCTCTCCCGCATGATCAACCCGGCGCAAATGCATGTCCAAGCTGACACATGGCAAACAATGACGGCAATCAACTCTTGCAAAACCAATAAATGGGCGTACTCCTTCTTGCCGAAAAATTGCAGGTGTAGGACAATGTTCTCGCCGGTGCCAAAGTGTCGCACCAGCCCTGCCCCTTGAGAGCAACCATTGAATCATGATTCAAATGAAACATTGTGAGACCAAAGGAAAGGAGGAAGAAAAGAAAAAAAATAACAAAGGAAGGAAAGAGAGAAAACAAAAATGCTGAAATGCCTAAAGTTCTAAGACGATAATACAAAAGTCAGAGACACTTTAACTCAGTAACTTCGTGTGCCTCCAAGTCCAGCGAGCGCTGCAGCGTCACCCTGACAGGCCGAGCATGTGGTCGAACAGCACTCCACTACACCACCCTTCGTTTTAGGACAAATTATTACTTATAAGAGCGATGACCTCCAACCTACTAGCGATGGCCTTCAACCTCCCAGCGATGGCCTCCATCCTAAGAGCGATGGCCTCCATCCTAGGAGGGATGGCCTCTAACCTACTAGCAATGGCCTCCATGTTCTTCCCGCCTCTTCCCTGGACTTGACAACTTCTGCCAAACCTTTCAGAGTTTCAGGCAGTTCAGACGGTGAGGAAGCTGGACTACCTGCAAGGAAATGTTCAATGTTTCAAGTCTGGGACACACGAGTTGTGTCCTCCCCGAAAAGCAGTGCGCTCGACTCATTCAACGACTGGCAGAGACTGAGGGACGCCTACGCTGCACATGTAACTCGTTTGGAGAGTTGTGGAGCAGAATACCTATTAATACATGCTCGTGCCGATGCCATCCTGCATGATTGAACCTTCCATGCCATTTCACCCAACAATGTTTTGCCGTCCCGGTGGGAAGCTTACACGACTCAAAGACTCGCCGTGTCATGAATATTGACCTGATCTTTTAAGCCCACACACAAAGACATAACAAAATTCCCGTGAGTCCTGCTCTAGGCAATTGGACCACTAATTTCGTTGTACCCTTGCTGTGCTATTTCAGAATCTGAAGACCAAAATAAGGCAAATCTTGTGCAGCGAAGAGTTTGCTGAGTGCCTCTGTGACTCCTTACCCTCTCTCTGTCTCTTCTCTCTCTCTCTCTCTCTCTCTCTCTCTGTCTCTTCTCGATATCATTTGAATCCACATTCTCACACGCTCTTGGGTGATTGGACCTCTCGCTGTGTCGCTGGTAGCTCTGTCAGCCTCGCAAATAGCTCTCTACGAGTTGAAGGCTGTGGGACTGTGATGGGGGGGGGCGGTAGGAAGCTACTAGGAACAAGTGCATCGCTTCTAGTAACAAGTGCCTTACTACTAGTAACAAGAATGCTACTAGGAACAAAGGGCATCGCTAATAGTTGATCATTGGAAAATCTGAGGAGGTTCGAATCTGGCACCTCTTCA